GTAAATGAATGGATAAAGAAAATGTGGTATATACATACAATGGAATTCTATGCCTCCATCAAAAAGAATGGCATTGTCCCATTTGTTAGGAAATGGAAAGCCTCGGAAAAAATTATATTAAGTGGAGTAAGCCAGGCCCAAAGTAACAAAGGTCACATAGTTTCCCTTATCTGCAATAACTAGTAAATGTCTAGGATAAGCAGAAAAGGTAAAAAGTTATGTGCATATGATCACATAAGATGATGTTAAGCAAAACAAACCCCAAGACAGAGACACAAGTGGGTTTTTTTTCTTGCTATTGTTTTTAATGTATTTATAATATACTATGTGATTTTTTTTGTTTCTTTTGTATGTTCTCCCCCCATGGTATAATCCGTTTTCACTGTATTTGATTTCTGTGCCCTGCAATCTTGTATATACATTTTTCTAATTTGGAGAGGGGAAGGGAAATAACAAAATGCTAAAACAAGGATACAGGTTGACCCATTATAACAATGAACAATCTTTACAATGTGGTTGGGGAAGGGGGGGTTCTGGAGCAAGAGAGGGAAAGGATGGTAGGGGAAAAAAAGGAAGGAGTAACAATGCTCTCGATAGGAAAAATACTCATTAGCTTACTCATGTAACTGTAACTCCTCTGTACAGTATTTTTACAACAAAAAAAAACATAAAAAGAACATTAAGTCATCATCTTACCATTGTTGTCTCTTGAATGGATCCAAAACTGTTAATAAAAATGTTGACTACTACATCAACAGGAATGCCTATGAATACAAAGGATATAGTCAGTAACTTGGTCAGATTTTGCATAATCCAGTTTATATTTTCAATTTTTATCCTTTTTCAGAAATCCACAATGAAACATGAACTCTTTGGTCATAATGTAACATATTTATAATTTTTAAAGTAGGATAACTATATAAATATATAATATGATAAAAATCAAAGTAAGATGAATTGTATTTTATGTATTTATTATTCAAAAATAACTTTCCTCTTAAATTACAGACATGAGAAAATATGTTTTCACTTCAAAAATGTGTTATTCCAGAGTCTTCAAGAAAGTGTAAACTGTTTCTTAAACCATCACAAAATAACTAGGGCTTTCTTACATTTTTCTAATCATTTACAGCTCTTAAATTAATTGGTATAATTTTATCCAAGAAAATTGACTTGATAAATTTTAATATATTTTAAATATATTTTTTATTTTTAATCAGACATAGTAGAGGCATTAAAAGGATTCTGCTTGACTTGCTGGAAAATAATTTAAAATTCATGGACTGTAAGCTAAGGTATGTTCAAACATTACAAATATCTTTCTTTTTAACTCCTTGTAGCTTCTGGTTGGGCTATCAAAGGGAAAATGTGACTGTAGCCTTTTAGCCATATAGCCTCTGACTGATGGAAAACAGGTGGCCAATCATTACAGGGCAGACATGTGACAGCCCAGACCAAGGCTGCTGTTGAAAGTAACTGAATAGGCCTGGTAATGAACAGAAATCCTGTTTTTACAACATACTTGTATAGCCATTTGACTGGAAGCAGCTGCAGACCTTTTCTTTGCAAAGGAGAGACAAAAAAATTAAGCTTTAAAATGTTAATCTGATCTACATCAAAATCTGTCCTAAACCATCAATAAGGATTACAGCTTTCCCATATGTGAACATTTTTTCCACAATCTTTCCTAAGTCATCAAGATTTAAACAACAACAACAACAAAGATGAAAGCAGAACAAAAATTTGACTTATATAAATATGCAATCTATGCATGATTTTTTTAAGTATAGTTTTCATTCTGGAAAGGTGTAATAAATGGTACTATTTTGTTGGGATAAAAATCATCTCTGTTGTAGACCACATAGTCACTTTTGTTCATAAAGTTCACATTTTTTAAAAACCACATGGCCATTCTCTATTTCAGCAAAAGAGTAGAAGGAACATATTTTCAAAGTGAAATAGCAACAAAAGTAGATTTTAAGTACATGCCACAACTGCTCTCCCTACTTTTACAATCACAATGGTGATTGTACAAATTCTGAAGTCTTTGTCTATAAATGAATGCAGGTGTGTCAGAGTCTACGTTTTAAAGCACTACATATAAAAATACAGCACTTAGAAAAGCTATTACAGAGCTTAGCCTATTCATCACAGCATACATTCTTGTTTTTATTCTCTACTTGTAGCCATATAAGATTATTGGAATGAATCTTTTGCTTATTAATAAATATTTTGGGCACTAAATTGTTCTGAACCTAAACAGATTTCAGAATCGTTACATGCCAATTTGAAATTACATTGTTTTGACTCTCACAAAGAATGATTGCATACAGATAAAATTTCTTTCTCAACTATAAAGAATGAATAGGGCTGGGAGGGGTTGAGCAACAAACCTTTGAAATTTGGTCTTATCCGGGGGTCATAACTGACTAACAGCCTGTTCAAGATGTTGCTGGTGGAGTTAGCAGGGACTCTTGCGAGGTCTTCTGCTGACTGCTGACTATAAGAAAGAAGAAAAAACCTGGTAAGGCTTAAGAAACAGTAAACAACAGAAATGGTAAATTTCTGAGAGAAAAGATTTTGTTTTTTGATTTTTGAAACAAAGCTACAATTTTTATATGGCTTTTCTAAACAGAATTAAAGAGTAGAAGATACTGTGAGCAACACAAGATATTTGAATGAAAAGTAACAACAACAAAAAGAAGTATTTTAACATTTAATTTTACTAAATCCATAAAACAGTCTTCTAAAGACTCTAGGTTACTTTCTATTAAAGCTACTTAGGGACAGACAGATCTTACCTGTCTTGAGAGAAATTGTGATCAAAGTCTAAGCAAGCACAAAAAGGATACACTCAAATGTCATTCTTTCTGATGGAGGCATAGAATTCCATTGTGTATATATACCACATTTTCATGATCCATTCATCTACCGAGGGGCATCTGGGTTGGTTCCTTATCTCAGCTATGGTGAATAATGCCACAATAAACACAGTTGTGCTGGTAGCTATAGCATGGCCTTGTTTGTGATGGTTTGGGTAAATGCCCAAAAGTGGAATTGCTGGGTCATAGCCGAGCTCTATATGTAGTTTTTTGAGGAACTTCTATACTATACTGCTTTCCAAAGTGGTTGAACAAGTTTACACTCACACCAATGCAGTAGGGTTCCCAATGTTCAAAAGGAAATGTACTCATTACCTTACTCATGTAACTGTAACTCCTCTGTACATTATCTTTACAATAAAAAAAGTTAAAAAGCAAAAACAAAATCAATACCAACAAAAACAACAACAATGAAAATATGTTTTCATTTCAATAAGTAGGATTTTAACTGTTCAGAAGAAATAAAACAGGATGTATTTAGTGAGACATAGTAACAAAGAGCTTTTCTATGTGTGTGGGTTAAACTCAGAGCCTTACATCCTCACTCAGCTTTTTCTCTCACTGGTACTCTACCACTTGAGCCAAATAACTGGCTTTTTTTTGCTGGCTAATAGGAGGCAAAATTTTCAAAGATTTGTTTGCTAGGGCTGGCTTTAAACTTCCATTCTTAAATCTCAAACTCTACAGTTGCAAGGATTTTAAGAATAAGCCACTGGCACCCAACACAAAGAATGATTTAAAATGTTGTTTTTTCTTAACTCTCTACCTAAGTAAAGCTTTATGTAAATGATATAATGTGACCAGAGAGACACTCTAAAATGTCATAAAAATCACACAGATACTAGAAAAATGATATTTTCCCAACAAGTTCATTGAATATCCTGCCTGTTGAGTTAAATATTAAAGTTTATGGAAAAAATTCTGATAAGACTGAATTGATACATGTACTTCTTTGAAATAGAAAGCATTGGAGTAGGAAACATTGAAGTAGAAAATGAAAACGATCAACTACATTTCCCAAAGGTAAAAGAGCTTATATAGATTTTTAACATTTCTTCCCATGGTTGTATCAAATCAACTATCGCACCTTCAGGTATTTGAAGATGGGTAATGAGAATTTTAATTTCATTGCAGGTGAAATTGGAACCTCCTTAGAGTCAATTGTTCTTAATCACACCCAGAACATGCTAAAGGGAATGAAGGGAAAATCGGGTATCAAGATGCAAGTTAGTGTTCAAACCCATGTACTAGTCTCACTCAAGGGAGGAAAATAGAATTATGAAATACACTTGTATTGGATGAATTAATGACAACTATTATTATGTTTCTTGATATAAATTCTAAGTGCATTTCTTCTTAACAATGCAAAGATAACACTAAGTTTTACAGTTTCAAACTTTCAGGCCTCATTTTTTCTTTTTTTTCATCTGTAAGCTGGGTCAATTAGACTCAAATTCTAGCCATCTATCTCTATCAACTTTTGTAGTTCTTCCAATAATCTAAACAGAATTAGTCACTCTTCCTCCATTACTGGATTTCATCTTTCTCGATATACAAATCTAAACCCAGACTGTTATTAAAATTCCCTTGCAATTCATCTCTTTTCTAAATTTTTGCCTCCATTGTTTAACCAAAGTACAGTGGCAATTATTTTATGGCTCTTTCCCCCATATCTATGTGTAGATACCAACTAGACATATCAGGTTATTTCAAACTATCTTATTTTTGTGAAGGATTAAGGTAGAGAGGAATTCTTATCATGCTAATTAAAAGCAGCATATTCAGGAAATTATCAGTTACTCCTCTAACCCTGACTGCTTGGATGGAAAAGCAAGCACTTTAGTTTCAGTTTGACAATGTAGAACTTAAGTGTGATTGATTCTTTTTGAACAATTACCCTAGTCTCTCCATTTCCCAGTGAAGAAGCCTGGCCCACATCAACAGTATACTGTAATTTCCTTTTTTATTTTTTTAAGCAATATTGGTTTGAACTTGGAGCTTCATGCTTGGTTGGTGAGTGCTCTATCACTTGAAGCACACCTTCATCCCTGCTTTTTGTTATTTTTGGAGAAAATGCCCCTAAGTATCTCTGTATAAGATGGTTTTGAACTGAAATCCTCCAGATCACAGCCTCCTCAGGAGCTATGACTATAGAAATGAGCCACTAGCACTTCTGTCGCTTTTTATTGGACAGCATACATATATGTATTGTTTTAGGGTGTGTGTGTGTATATAAAAATTACATGTATACTATATAATATTAGTATAGTATAATACTATATAGTATATATCTAATACAATATATATAATTATTGCATATATAATATATACTATATAAAATAGTATTTATATAGTATATATATTATATACTATATAAAATAGTATTTATATACTATATAAAATAGTATAACATTAAATACTATTTTATATAGTATTTAATATTATACTACTATAATATTTATTATACATACTAATGTATATTATATAATATTATATATACTAATACTACATCTTAAGTTCTATGACAACTAAAATAATAAAATCAGTATTATTAGTAGTTGGCTTAGTCTGCAATTTATTTCTTGGTTAATCATCTCTAAATGCTATTTCTCCTCATAGTTCAGTACAAGTTGTGTCTTAACTACAGAAACTCGATGTCAATTGATAAAATCACTTGAAATATCAAACCAAACCTAAGCTTACCAGGCAATTTATCAAATATCTGACAGCCCCTTTTCTTCTCTTTTTATGTGTTTTAATATGTGCTTCTACATCTATCACAGGTAACCAACCTCATATGAATATTTTAATCAACAGTTCACCTATCTTTATAGTAGAAACTCAGGGATACTTTAAAATGTAAGTAAATTCTTGTGCAATTTAAATTGACACGCATGAACTCAGGTTTTTTTCCCTCACCTAAAAATATTATTTTTGTTTGGTTTAGAAATAATAGAACCACATTAAAATAATCTCTACTGATGAAAACACACTTATCCTTACAATTGTGAAAGCTAGTCATATATTTTCAAAATAAGCATAAGATCGAGAAGAATTAAATGATTTTAATTAGGCTATGGACTTCAGGCCTGTGTTAGTACTTAAGTTTCCATCTCCTAAATCTCAGCCCAATGTTTTATTCATTTGACTACACTATTTGTTTTACTTCAGCAAATCTATCAACAATTCCAATATATTTCAAAGCAAGATATTTCATTTCTTGGAAATATGATATTAATTTAAGAAAATAACTTATCCTACTCAGTCAAAGTTATCAAGTGACTAGAGAAAATAATGTTTTATATCAAAACCTTTCTACAACCAGTTCTCTCTTTTGTTCCTTTGCCTAAATTTGAACCAAAGTCATTACTAATATGTAAAGTTATGCAAGGAATGTGTCAGGATATAGAGCTATGTGATGTAATGTCTCCCAGCAATGAAAGAAAAATCCACAATTGCTTTCTAAATGGAGACCTTCAATTTTCCATTAACTGTAGAACATTCTTATTTATACACGATCCCACAGCGAGCAGTTCAAAACAGGTTTGTTTGAGCATACTGTCTTAATCTTCTCCCTCAACCCAATATTCTGATTCTAAAGGAATTACTGCCTTATTATTTTGTAGGGTTACAAGTTCAATATGGTCAAAAGGCCTCTCACACTTGAGAGTAGCATGGATCTGTCTGTATCGGGTATGAGAGTTGTTCTGGGCATGACCTAGAACAAGTTCAAGGTCACAGACACAAGGGAAAAATGAGGTATGTAGAACTTAGAGGCTGTGGTAGTTCTTGTCACAGTGATTCTGTAGCCCTTGGAGTTAAAGACCCCACAGAGATCTGATGAGAGGTTCTTTCCCAAAAAGTGTACACAAAATTTGCAGTTCTATGGTCCACAGAGTAAGAAAGCTTCCTTTACAGAAACAATTGCAATCATTCATCCTTATGCAGCAGTTCTGACTCTGTGGGATGCTTTGATTATTGCTAATTTTCCTCGTGAGACAGAAGATACAAGAAAAAAACAAAGGATCCTTGTTGGGTTAGATATTGGGTAGCAGATGCCCTTCTTTCTGAATGCTACTCTAGGAGGACTCTCAAAGGACTTATCAAAGAAAACAATATAACTGCAAATGGTGGCCACAGTGTTTTATTGGTCATTATATTTTAAAAGCCATATCTTCCTTCAGAATGAAGAGAAAACATGTTAAAAGAGGGACAGGGAGCCAACAGACAGAAATCCCTGTGGTCAACATTAGAGAAATTTTAGGAACAAAGTAAACTAGAACTGTCTTACAATCCAAAACATGAAATAAAAACCCATGAGTCTATACAGAAATAAATAAGAAGTTGAGTAAACAAATATACAGGGAAAACATATTTCTTATTCCTACTTCCCATAATGGGTGCAGGTCCTCTGTTCTCAAATTGATGGATATACATCCCCACTCCTAAGTGTGATCTGGGCATGTTGACTGCCTTCCCAACAGATGGAGATATATCAGAGAGGAAAGGGAATCTTACAGTGAAAACACTTGACAACTACCTCAGCAAAAGATGGAAGTTACTTTCAGTTGTATGGACTCTGGACATGAAATGATCCTAAGGTTTCCCTCCCCTAAAT